GATGGATGATGCACGCTCCACTTCCTTCATCTACCATAATTCTCTTTACATCAGTATCTAAGGTTCATAAAGTAATGACAAGTGCATTATTGAGAGGGAAAGTCAAACCGTCAGCATACGACTCATCGAAGATGATGCTTTCCTCGATTGTATCATACCATTCGTGGGTGATTGATCTTTTGATCTTATGGGTGGCGGTGAACTTGAAGCCATTGATAGAGTCATCATTACTGCTACCAATAATCATATTGATGATACTAGCTGGTGAAGGTGGCTTTCGTGGGCCTGGACGTTCTCGACCCCTTGTTAAGGTGTTCCTTCCCTTGTCGCTGAGTAGTTTTTTGAGGTACTGTTGTTGCATCAAGCTCGCTACCTCAAGTCTTAAGGCGATGCAGTCTTCTATTTTATGTCCATGTTCCTATTGGAATTTGCAGAGGACGTCAAATTTCCTGGTGGTGGGATCAGATCACATCTTCGGTGGCTATTTTACCTTCGTTCCGAGCTTCTCGAGAGCGAAGACCACTTCTGTAGGTGAAACACAAAAATTGTAAGCAGATAACAAAGGAGGCATACCTCTATCGTTCCTGTGAGTCCCTATCTCAGCCTAGACAGGCCATCTTTATAACGAAGGGAGGTTCCCTGACATAGGACCGGTGTCGTTCCCTACCTAGCCGGGATATCGGGTGGTCTCTCCTCATATTATCCCTGCGTTCTTTTCTAGGCTCGGATTGTACCGAGGTAAGTCGTCGAGTTGGTCAGTTGTGGTTGTCATCGTCTGCTCTGACCTCGGCATTATGGATTTTATCCCAAGTGGCCGATGGATACTTCACTAACCGACTCAGTAGCTTTTTGGCTGCCCTCGAACCCTCTCTGATCAACCATTCTGAAAGGCTACGACGGCCATTCCTTCGAAAACATTTGGTAAGGCCATCCTCATACTATTGAACCGGGTGAGAAAGCCCCTTAGTCCCTCTCCAGGGGATTGCTTAATGGCGAAAATGTCGTTTACACTTGTTTCAGCTTTCTTGGCCTCGACATGTGCCGTCACGAACTTATCGGCCATTTATTGTGATAGCATCCTAGGAAGCTCAATTCTATTCAAGGATAGGGATGAAGCTTTGGAATCTCAAAGAGGGCCTTTAACAAAAACTCAAGCTAAAAAGTTGCAAAACAAGATCATTGGACTTTAGGAGCGATCAAAGAAGCTGTTAGTTGGGAGGAAGAGCTTAAGGATAAAGGATATGAGTTATATAGGTGTTATAATATTTTATGGCTCAAATTCATGTCCAAGAATAGGTGGATTAGATCTCAAGAAACATCCTTTGAAGAAGGTCCAAATCAGGCCACTCTTGGACCAATTTGGCACCTAAAATGTGTCCAACCTTGTAGCCTATGAAGTCCTACATAAATCCACGTTTTTATAACATAAAAATGACTTACTTGATGTTCAAGAAGGGTACAATAGGCGTGCTAAAGGTTGAGTGCAAGCTGGTGCCAGGTTGCTTGCAAATTTCCTTCAAGATTTCCAAGATTTTCAAGATTCTATCCAAGATTGGTTTGGGACTTATTTCCATATATTTTGGGACTATATTTATTTCTTTCCTAGTTAGTTAAGGTTATTTTTTCCTTTTCCTAAGATTGTTGAAGTTACTTTCCAAGATTGACTTGGTTTTTGTTTCCTAGTAATTTTCCTTTTCCCAAGGTAGTTGGACTTGTTGCCCAAGTAGTTTAGGACTTTATTTCCTTAATTTTTAGGCTTAATTTCGTGACCCCTCCTACCTATATAAGGGGTGTCTTCTTTGTTTTTAGACTTAGATTTCAGATTATTATCAATAAAAATTGTGAGATTTTTCTTGCGCTCTTGCGTGTGGCTACTCTTGGATTTATTCTTCAACATTCAAGAATCAACTTAAGGTGGTAAGATTAAACTCTTTCGAAATCTTAGATCACTTCTAGGTATTCAAGAAACGTGATAAGTTTAGGCTTATTGTTGTTCTTGTTATTCTAAAGGGTCGGGTTTCACAATCTATCTCTTGTTTTTAATTTTCTATCAAAGGTAATTAGTTCTTTGTTAGCTAATTGTTGTTGTTAGGATTCAACTTCAAGAATAGACTTCTTGAGTTTAAGAAACTCTTTCTTGAATTCAATATATGTTTAATTTTCTGTCTTTTTTTTTTCGTTTCTCTACTTTCTTTTAGCTTCCGCAAGTTTCTTGATTTTCTTGTTTTTCTTTAGTAATTCTTGAATCCCCTATCGTGTTGTTATCATATTGAACGTTTCTATGGAACGGGCTGGTAACTGTGAATACCATATCAATGCCCCTCCACTGAGGGTTTTGCCAAAGTTTCTCAACAAGATGGAAGGCACCTGCTCCTTGGTGAGGTCGTTGTTTTTCACAGCGATAACGTAGTGAGTGACATGATCTTCGGGGTCGGTGGTCCCATCGTAGATTCTGAGATATGGGAGCATCTTGTAGGTCTTTGGTATGGCATGTGAAGTCGCTTCTTCATTGTACTACTGCTTTTACGAACCTACAGACATCCTTTTTTGGCAGCAATTTGGGGGAGCTAGGTATTTTGTCTACCCGTTCCTGGTGCTCTTTCATTTGGTCTATGAGCGCCTTGTTTTCGTTTTTCATTTCCTCCATTCATTGCGGCACGGCGGCAGGGATGCTGTCACATGTATTATCAGCAACAGTGTGAGGTTTGCCTGAAGTCGGAGGGACTGGTTAGTCATCCTATTCGTCCTCGTGTTGTGCTGCATGGACTTTTGTTGTTTCTATGGTCGTGCATAGAGCTTGTTTACTGAGTATGCTGACTAGAGTATCAGTTAGCCATGCTTTGAGGAGGTTTTTCATAGCGGGTGGTGCCCCCTCTCCCGTGGACATGGAGGCTTCTTTCCAGTTTGATTTTGTCGTATTGTAGAAAGGTAGAGGTGACCTTTCTCGTCTAGGAGAAGCTATGGGCGTTGTCTCCTCATCATGGGTCTCATAGCCTTCGTTGATAGCACTCATGAAGTTGAGAGGAAGATTATCTACCGCTTTGGTCCCCTTTCCTCGTTTACCTGCCATGGAGATTTGTGTACTGGAAAGGAAATAAACATTGTGGTTTGTTAGATTAGCGGGTCACGTGAGTTGTAAATCTAATGGAAACTAAGAGATTGGCTGAGAAAATCCCCACACACGGCGCCAAACTGTTTGACCCAAAATTTAGATCTAGGTTTAACAATTAGATTTTCTAAAAGAATAGAGTTAATCTTAGCCAATATTAGTATCCAAAATATTGTTTAACTGATTTAGTGGTGAGATATCAGAGATGTTATTCAAATGGCAATAAATGGGCAATAGTAAATCAATATTCAATGGCCCAAGAACAAAAGAATAGCATTAAATAGTACTCCCTCCGTTCCAGTTTATGTGAACCTATTTCTTTTTTGGTCAGTTCTAAAAAGAATGACCCCTTTCTAAATTTGAAAATAATTTAGCTTAAGACCACAAATTCAATAAGTCTTCATTTTTCTTAAACTTCGTGCCCAGTTAAACAGGTTCACATAAATTGAAACAGAGGGAGTAGTAAATGATATATATAATGGTATTTATGTAAATAAATGCAAGTGAGTCAACTGAAATGGGATGAAATTCTTTAGTATTCCCTCTGACAATTATAAATAATTTATGAGCTTTTGAATATTCGAATTTTCTTTGGATTGTGGAAAAAAGTTAGATACAGATCTAAAGAAAAGGTGTATTTTGTATGTGTATAATAAAGCAAGAATCTTCAGAGAATGTCAATGTATTATATTTTTACTAAGAGTATCCAATCCCCCTCTATAACCACATCTCTTTTTATTTATAAGGGCATATGGGCTACAAAACCTTAATAGTACAGATTCGAGGAATATTCATAGGAATATTTCCTTTAAAGTATTATCTCTAAAACTAGTCGTTACTGCTCTACTAAGGGGAGTACTCATCCTCGACCTCCGTTGAATCCTCGACCTCGCCTTTATCCTTCGTTGAAACCATGTTATTACTTCGTTGAAACCAAATTAATAACACGTGGCAGCCTTCGAAGGCTTTCTTAATATCGATTAGGCTCGCATATGACTATGACAATTTTTAGCCCATACAGATACCTGCAAATTGCGGCAATAGATACATGGAATATTGGTAGATAAAAATATTAAAGAGATATGTAGCATACGTGCCAACCAAGAAGGAGAAAATATACACACCTGTATTTTTCATGATAATAATCTTAATAATATTTTTTGAACTCATCAATAGATAAAGATATTGATTAGTGTCAAACGCTTCTCCAAAGATTTCAGTTGTTTCTTTTTCAAATAAATCTTAATCAAGCTAACACTCTATATTCCCTCTGTTTCGTTTTTCGATTGTGTTTGGTTAGTTCAAAATATTAAATTTAACTTATGTGATGGTCGAATAAATACTAAAAATAATAGTTGAAAGTTATTCTTATGGAAAACAGCATATAAATGTTTAAATTCTAAAGAACTTGAATTCGAAAAGTTGTAACAATGGTGCTAAATATTTTGGAGCATCTCAAAATGAAAAGAGTATCATATAAGTAAAAACGGATAACAAACTGTATATTTAAGTTGAAAGTAATTATTCAAATGAAAGAGGGGGAACAAAAGGAAAGATTCTATTAATGGCACTTCAAAATAAATTATATTGAACAACCTTCTCTTGATAATTCTTTTCATTATGCGTACTTTTAATCGTTGACTGCCAATATTTTCGTGTTATGATTGTCTTCATTCTCTATATTTAAGAAGATATCATCTTTTGCAAAACAGACAATTGGATAGATTTGGTTAGAGTTACTCAAAACAAGGGCATATTTATAATATATCCCAGATCATAGCTGAAGTAAATATTCCTAATTATAATAGAAACCACATGGAAAGGCTATGCAATTCACCTGTAAAATGAAGAAAGAAATCTTTTTAAAGAGTAAAAGCAAGGCTGTGCACTAGCCAAAGCACCCAAGCAACCTTAATAATAGTCATACGACGCAATTAGACAAACAAGAAATTGATGTTACCAACAAGAGGAGCAATTAAGTTTTTCCTTTTTCAAACTAGGGAATAACTGATTACATCACAAAATTTCCCATTACAACCATGGCAGTAACATAAGCTCAACAACTAGAAACAGCCACTATATATATTTCAAAGTTACATGCGATGTAAGATCTCTTCGATTCTACCCTTTGTTATAAAATTTACTATCCCAATGGCCCTGTCCACACTGTGAAATGGTAATAGCCTTCTTCACTGTTCAGGTTGGCCTGGGTAGCATGCATTAGCAGATCGTGACATCCACCCTTTTCACTCAATTTCTTTGATAATTCTACTCGTTCGCAATGGCTCATTCTGAATGCTTCCTGGGGCACTGTGAGCTTTCCTCCTCCCGGCTCTCCGCCTCTCAGATTCAGTCATCTCCCGTATTTGCTTTGTTGCCTTGTATATTGGTTTTGGCAAGTGCCTGTGTCTGCAAAATCATAATAAAAGGGGAATGAAGATAACCTCAAAGCTTTTGGGCTCACTGAGAATCTTATCAGATATTCAACCTCCAAAGGAGCAGGAATAGAAAAGTAACAAATATGTGCACAGAAAAATTTGACCATGGTAATTATCTTCTTCTGAACTTCTAGCTTTAGCTTAACCATGCAGCTTTTGTTCAGGCTTATGAGCTAGCAGAATATAGGTCTCAGCCTAACAAGGTTTTCGCACCGGGTGGACATGAGGTTACTTACCAGTTAACAAAAAAGATCAACTACAATTTGGTACCCCAATGGACTAAGGCCCTAAGACAAGATTCCTAGTCAAGTTGAACGTTTACCTGACTATGCGCTTGACTTCAGCAAGATGCTTGTAACGATTCTTGACAGCCTCCAAATATTCATGTTTTTTCCGCTCTCTTGGCAAAACCTGCAAGAACACAATTTTTAGCTCTTCATGATTGATGTGAAGAAAAACAATTGATACGACCCCCAGAAACAGAATTACAGAACAATCAAGGAAGCTACATCACATAGCATTCTTTTCCATTTTCTTTTAAAAGCAGTAGTGTGATATTCGCCCTCCAGAAATACTAAGGAGCAAATTATGTTGTTCATTAGTTGAAGGCATTTTGTGTGAACTAAACTGATGCACATAAAAAAGCTTCAAAGGGAATAGGGCAGAGACAATTTCAAGTTGTCCTAAATATGGTCACAAACCATACTTTTCAGGAAAAAGTTTTGGACAACAGTTCCAAGACAGACATTTTTTCTTTTCTTTTTGCACAACAGTTCCTGCGCTTGTTAATCATTTCACAGGTTATAACTTTCTCCCTTCTTTTTTCCAAACATTTTGATTATTGACAAGGATTCATTTTTCTTCATGTTAAGGTGTTCTAAGGATTTACTTTTCTTCTATGCACTTACAGCTATGTTTCTTTCCCTTTTTTCCTTTCTCTATTGCACATCATACTCTAGCTTGTGCAAGAATTTTAATGAAGGGACCAAAAGCTTTTTCCAAGTTTGGGATCTCCGTTTCATGTACTTGCAGCATTCTAATTAACAAACTCTAATTACTCATAATTCTGCGTGTCCAAGATTTCTACTGAAGAAATGTAAAAAAATCTTTTGTTTTCATAAACTAAAACCACAAATTTCCCCATGTTAAGCAGCCCAAGAAACTAGAATGGATGCGTGTAAAAAACTTACGACCTCTTGATCTCACTTTTTCAATCTTACCACTGTGTTGAAACCAATCCACCATTAAAGAGGGGTAAAATCTCAGAACGATTCAAACCCAGAACTCATCTAAAAGCAGAAAAGAAACATGTACACACATTCCCAGAACACAATATATAAACCAAGTGAATCAAGCAGAATGTAGGTACATACAACTCCCAATTGCTCAGATGCTTTTGCTTTCCATAGACGAAGGTTGGTATCGTCACTTCCTGAGATAATATAACTTGCATCGCAACTGAACTTGACACAGAATACCCTGAGTTGATGATAGATGTCAGGAAAACACATTCACTTGAAAGTGCAAGTACATTAAGTAGCCAAGACGGTCCATTATAATTTGGGATAACTACATCATAACTAATAACAAAACAGAAAAGATGCTTCTTAATCAAGATATAGAGTGAAACCTCTGCATCCTCTTAGTGTGATAGATTTCCCTGCTGTGACCACCATTATATTGGAAAATTCTCACCTACAAATGTAATTCGGTCAAAGTGCCGAGGGCACTAGGTGAACAAATAAATAAACTTGAAAGGAACTTACTGTTCTATCATAAGATCCAGTAACAAATTCTCGACCGGTTGGTGAATAGTCTATATCCATCCTGCAAATATACCACACTTATTAGCGCACACAACTTGTAAAATCCAACACAAACTGCAGTAAATGAAGAGATGATGCCTTACACTGAGGAGACATGATCTTTATGCACACATTTGGCTTCATTTAACTTTCTAACATCATAACTGTAGCACTTGCCATCGTCATTAGCCTACCCCAATAAGATGCGAAGAGTCATTGCAAAAAAACCACACAATATATGAAATTCATATTGAGAACAACCACTAAAGATTAAAAAATAAAGACCAAGTGAGACCCATGCCCTTGTTTTATGCATGCACTCAACCCCTCGAGCTCCTAAATTGCATTCACTACTAAGTGTTCAGAATCACGTAATTGTAAAAGGGGGCCTACTGAAGCAAAACAAAGTAAAACACAGCTATAGCAACATTTCACATAAAGGCAGTGCGTTCATGACAAAGGTACAATGCTCTACTTAAGCTGCAGAGAACAACAACAACAACAACTACCCAGTAAAATCTCACAAAGTGGGGTCTGGGGAGGGTAATTTGTACGTAGACCTTACCCCTGCCCCGATAGCGCAGAGAGGCTGTTTCCGATAGACCCTCGGCTCAGAAAGACGGAAATAAAAAACAAGAAAAGACAATTCATTAGTAACTCCAGTAGAAACCGTAATAGTAACAGAAGCATAACCACCAAAAGATGAATGACATGCACTAACAGTAACCAGAGTCTTAAGGCCCGGGGCTAAGATAAACAGCAAGGATAGTGTGGGATCATCATAAACTGCAAACCATCTAAGATCAACCCTAATCCAACCCCGCCTCACCCCCGGTATGAAGTAAGGAAAGCTCTACTACCCCTAACCTACAACCCTAATGCTTGACCTCCAGACCTACCTATCAAGGGCCATGTCCTCGGAAATCTGCGGTCGTACCATGTCCAGCCTGATCACCTCTCCCCAATACTTCTTAGGCCTCCCTCTACCTCTTCTCGTACCCACCATGGCCAACCGCTCACACCTCCTCACCGGGGCATCAAGGCTTCTCCTCTGCACGTGCCCGAACCATCTGAGCCTCGCTTCCCTCATCTTGTCATCCACAGGGGCTACGCCCACCTTCTTCCGAAAATCTTCATTCCTAATCTTGTCTATCCTAGTGTGCCCGCACATCCACCTCAGCATCCGCATCTCTGCTACCTTCATCCTCTGGATATGGGAGTTCTTAACCGGCCAACACTCTGCCCCATACAACATGGCCGGTCTAACCACAGCTCTATAAAACTTACCTTTGAGTATCTGTGGCACTTTCTTGTCACACAAGACTCCAGATGCAAGCCTCTATTTCACCCAACCCGCCCCTATACGGTGAGTAACGTCCTCGTCGATCTCTCCGTCCCCCTGAATCATCGACCCAAGGTACTTGAAGCTATCTCTTTTGGGGATGACCTGTGACCCAAGCCTCACGTCCCCGCCTACTTTCCTCGGCTCGGTGCTAAACTTGCACTCCAGGTACTCTGTCTTGGACCTGCTCAATTTGAAACCCTTAGACTCGAGAGTCCGTCTCCAAACCTCCAATCTCTCGTTAACACCGACCCTCGTCTCGTCAATTAAAACTATGTCATCAGCAAATAACATACACCATGGCACCTCCCCTTGAATATGGTGTGTCAAAGCATCCATCACCAAGGCAAATAAGAACGGGCTAAGCGCAGAGCCTTGGTGCAATCCCATAACCGGGAAATGCTGCAGAGACTTCGAGCAATAATGTTAGGGTGGTGTTACAAGCAAACTAGGCAACTTTCACTAAGAAAAGACCTTTTGAAGAACCAGTACCTTTTTGTCCTATCTAATTTTGCAAGTTTCCGTCTATATTTAAGATGATTAAAATCTACCTTTATATTACAACAATCAAAGTGGTCCTAGTAATCGGAAAAAGATTGGAAGCATGATACTATTCTCCACCTTACTCTTTATTACATTTAAACCATCATGGTTTACTCATCATCAAAATTTGGGCATATACTTTTCCGTTTAAGGTGTGCGTCAAGGAATTATCACGGAATTCGCAAGAAACTTAAAATAGGCTCTATAGCTTCGTTTAATTACCTTACCAAAAATTTCCGAATATTATAAGGGTATATGTTACAGATTTCAGATATAGAAAAATCAGGCCTTAAGTTCTTTCCCAAAAAGGAACTTAATCCCACCACTGAAAAGATTCCTTCCTCAAAGGAAATATTAGTGTGACCGAGACATTAACTAGAAGAATCTTTAAGCTTCCTAGCTATGATTCATAACGGATCAGTTCTATTCACGCTCTCCTTGAAGTTTCCAACTTCAACGCTAACCAGGGAAAAGTAGCCAACAGTGATCATGTGCTTATTGGAAAAGAAATCCAGTGATCCAGCAGCTTTCTAATCTTAATGGTTAGGCAGGCAGACGTAATGTTCAACTTAAACTTAGAACATTATAATTTTTTAGATCCAACTGTTGTTGTGGTGATGTCAAGGCCTGCTTTCAGGCCCAGAAATTTAGCCAAAGTAAGCGGCTTTACAACAGAGTAGTCCATCTCTAGGATTAAAAACTCGCAGCTTATCAAACCTCTACCTTGACGTTCAGATGATGTTATATGTTACATTTTACTATATATGTTAAAAACTCGCAGCTTATCAAACCTCTACCTTGACGTTCAGATGATGTTATATGTTACATTTTACTATATATATCCACAAAAGTGACATGCTAATATGAACATGTATTCATGTCAATTCTAAATTAATACGAACGCGAACTTCAATTAAAGGGAAATACACAAAATTAGGAGTTGACTATTGTAGTGACTAACAAGTTGTTCCTCTTCATTTTAGTTCCAGCTAATCAAATCTAATAGTACCTTTTCCCCCCAAAAAAAACACAAATTTCAAAGTCACATGTAAGTGACCTGCCACACGTAATCTATATTTAGTAGAAATTAAACACCTCACAAGGTTACTAAACTTGCTCCCCCACCCCCACCCCACCCCACCCCACCCCCCACCCCCCAAACATGGGAAACAACATAACATAAAAACGAAACTATTTCTTGGGAACAGGAATCAGGAAGGGGTGATCACGGAACTGAAAGCAAAAAAGCATCATGACTTGAATCACGAGAAAGCAACACAAGATACATGAAAAGGAGAACAAAGTTATCATCTTGCACTCACGGCAGTGAAATTCATTGGCTCCATGGGATTCCAAGCTATAGAATTAGTTTTTGTCTGAAAAAAAAGATACAAAGTCAGAAATGACCTTTTGAAATAATACAAAGCAGATACATTACTTAAAAGTAGATTGACGCAGCTCTTTTAACATGACCACTGAACCTATGAACAAGCCAATCACTCAAAAAATGTTCAAAGCCAGAATGAAATGGGTCGCCTCACTCATTTACAAATTATCAAAATAAGTAGCTTATGGGCCAGCTTTTTACCTAAACAAGACCCACTTATACGTTAGCAGTAATTTTCACAGAGACAATTGTGCTGCTTACCCGCATAATAACCTTTCTAGCTGGTGTAGACATCCGTAAATCATATATGTTTATGCTACGGTCACTGCAAGAAAGATCAAATACTACACAATAAGTAGCTGCAGGCCAAAAAATGGATAACACTAACTATTTTTTGGTAGTTTTAATTTGATGATCAGAGAAGCTGCAACTACTGCATAAATAATTGTCCAAGACGTTGAAAACATAGATGCACATAATAGTGAAATTTCAAAAGGATTAGAGATATATAACTTGAGAAAGGTTATGTCCAAAAAAGAGGGTTCTATTTAAACATGGAAACTACATGATCGGACAATGCAGGAACCCAGTAAAATAGATGCACGCAAGTATCAGAAGAAAAAGAAAAGGACATGGAGATAACCTAGGCTGTAGTCACCTTAAAGAAAAGGAGTATCACATATAGACATATGAAAATATGAACCAACACCAATAGATTGATTACCTTGAATAAAAAGTAATTTGTACTAAATTAAAACAAAAGATCAGTTATGGATCAGGGCAGAAAACTAATATAAAAAGACCTCCAATCCTTTCCCAACAAACAACAAAGCAAAAGAAGAAAAGAAGGCTCTAGAGTCTTAATGAATGAAAACCTTGCTGATGTTGCCAAAAGATTAAGTTCTCCTGGATTAAACCGAACAGATGTCACTGTGTCATTCCCCCATTCAAAACTATTAACCGGCTGAGACCTGGTTCACAGGTGAGTAAAATGTGTTAAAAACTGCACATATTTGGCAGCAGAAAAGATACAAGAAACAGGTAAGCAGACCTGTTATGGTTCCAAATATCAACTTGAGCACCAGCAGTAGCAAAAAGATCACCATCCCATTGGTGGTCAACACCCCTATGGAACAAAAACATCAGCAGTTTAAGACATGAAGCTACAGAAAAATGAATAAAGTTATTATTGTAGTTAAGTAACAAATCGTCTTGCAAGTGCAATAGTACCAAATACATACCAGAATGCATTCTTCCAAACATACACAGCCAATGGCTGAGAATAAAAGAATTCAGTTTGTTAGACAATCGGGCACAACAAGTTCATGCATGCAAACAACAGAAAGCTAGAAATGCATTTACCTGGGATGAGTTACCAGACCCATCATCTGACTCCAATAGAGTATCACCAGGAACTTTCCAGAGCCTAAGACTACAGTAAAGTAGTGCAAAGCACAGTGGATCAGATTTAGTACAGGAATATATTCATTATTTAAATTCGTATCCTCACGTGCAATATTTCTCATGAAGCCTTACGTGCAATCAGTTCCACATGATACAAGAATACGGCCATCCGTAGACACTGTCAAACCACGTACTGCACCTTGGTGACCAGGAAACTGACGTACTGTCCGCCTATTTTGTTTTGCAAAAAACATTTGGCACACAATTATTTTAAGGATCATGACTGGGATAAAAAGAAATTTCAAAAGAGCACCCATGAACTATTCATCAAGTAATGGACACTGAATATCAGAGCCTTTTTAAAATCCACTAACATGCTTCTGATTGCTGGTTACAGATGAAACACTGCATATAACTTCAAGCTAAGAATTTCAATAGGCCAGTCACGTACCTCAAGGGAAAAAAGAAAAAATGCGAAGGAAGAAGAATCGGGCATCACATTGTATGTAAAACAAAAAAAAAATTCATACTTCAAGTACTTCTCCACAGATGAAACATTTAAAAGAAGTGCAAAACGTGACAAAAATTGGGGATAACAATATCCCATAAAGCTTGAGTCAACTACCAGCAGTAACATGGAATGCAAAAAGCCCTAGGGAATTGTGAATCAGTAGAAGTAAAGGGAAAACAAATGCTTTAAAGAATTTGGAATCGACATTTAGTTATCCAAAATAATTACCCTCAGCTCTCATGATCAGAATTTCACGTATATTCCTAACTTCATGGGAATGTAATCAAAAAGTACTTTTGAGTTCCACACTTCTACTTTGTACCGGGGGCGGGGCTAGGCCGATAATGTTTCCACACTATTTACGTTTTTTATATTATTACTGGTTATTGTTATCGCTTTTCCATCTATTTTCTGTTTCTGATATTATTTTTCTGGCTTTTGTTGTTGTCAGTGATCTATTATTTATTTTCGTCTTCTTGAGCCGAGGGTCTTCCGGAAACAGCCTCTCTACCCCTTCGGGGTAGGGGTAGGGGTAAGGTCTGTGTATACTCCACCCTCCCCGGACCCCACTTGTGGGATTTTACTGGGTTATTGTTGCTGTTGTTGTTGTTGAGTTCTAAGTGCTTGTAAACTGAAAACATTGATATGGTCCAAAAGATTCTTACCTTACGAAAAATGCACAAAGGTTATATAAAATCATGCTTGTTACAATAAAATACTACTCCGTATTAAGTAATAACTAAAACAACTACAATGCATAACTACCTGGTAGCCAAATCCCATAGGCGAACATCTGCAAGAACACAAAAACTGTTCAGAAGCCCGAAGTAATTAATAAATATAATTTTAATATTTTCAGCCAGCAATACCTCAATGAATTATTTGTCAAGGTTAAAGTTTTAATTTCTTTTTTTTTCCTAAACGTATCATCAAAATGCTGCAAGTTTTTTCTAGTCATTTCACATAAATGTTTTTGAAAAGAGAAAACTTGAGGCTACGCAAGAATGTATAAACACAAAAGACGTAAAAAGGATCATACCACCATCCATAGAGCCAGAAAATACTCCTTTCAAGTGATTAGGATTCTTTGCCATGCAAGAGACGGCATCAATGTGCCCATCCATCGCTCCAACAAATGGCCTCGCAAATATCTAAAAAGAACTTAAATTGACACATTCAAACAAAAGAAAACAATAAAAATCAGGTCAGGGAACAGGAAAAACCTTCTCTAGTTTTGCTGCATTCAGCGCGCGAACATATTCCACTGCCTTCTCTTGAGGTCGAAGGTTGGGATCGAAGTTACGAAAAACTCTCTGATCAGCAAAGATCAACATGCAAGTTAGTATTTACAAGATATCAAGGACTGTGCTTGGCGTGGCGCGAAATCACAATTCTACAACACAAAGTTAAAAATGATAGAATGGCCAAACCTGGAGGTCCTGACTGCGTTCGCGAGTAAATTCATCCGTAGACCGAGATATCACTTTCACCCGCATATTGATCTCTTCTCCTACAGCTTTCAACTTCAGAGTAAGCAGAATTGAGGTCAGTTCACTCTCTGACAAACTAATAACCTTCAAACCCAAAAAACATGTATATATAATAGTTAGACATTGACTGTCAAGACCTGTAGGATTCACCTCTATCTAAGGACCATTTAAATAAACTGATTTTACGGCTCACTCACATTAATTGATTTATAATACTTGGAATAAGATAATTAAAAAGTGAAAATTGTTTGTTTAGACAACACAATGAATGATAAACTACACTTCAATCTCAAACTAATTGGTGACGGCTATATGAACAATTAAAACCAAATTAATGTACATCCTTTATTACATTGGAAACAAGTAAACATTCAGGTTAACGGAGAAAAATTCAATTAACGGAAGAAAAGAGATAGTGAGGAGTTTACCGGTAATGGTGGTGGCGCGTGGGAGTGGTGAATTCGTCAGCCGACTTCGCCGAAGAAGAACTATGGGAACTTGAAACCGGCGTTCGGGTTCACGAATCTCTTAGGGTTTTTAGGGTTTTGTTGGCTTAGTATTAAAAAAATGGAAAAGGTTAAAATTGCCCTAAATTATTGAAAAAGTTTTAAAAATATCTTAATTCACTTATTGGGCTAAAAATATGAGTCCGAAACCAAAATAATGGTTTTTTTGACTCAAAATATATTTCTACAGCTAAAAAAACAAAGTTACATTTCTAACTAAAATGCAGTATTATACTGCGATTTAGATTAACGGAAAGTTAGTCGTTAAAACAAAACGTAGTATGATACTGCGATTTAGTTGTTAATTCTTTTTTTTAATGTGAAACGTTGTATAATACTACGTTTTACTTACTAACACGTAGTATTATACTACGTTTTACATTGAAACTATAAACTCGTCTTCTTCTCCACGACAAGCCCACTATCGTGGATTAAAAAATCCCCCCCCCCCCAATTCCAGCGGTCCCCCCTATTTTTATAAAAATAAAATTCTATTGGGCCCCACCCGTCACACAAGAAGTGAAGATTGTAGGTCCCGCATATAGCCCAAGCCTTGGATTGTTGTGGGTTCCTTGTTTCGGGCTCAAAATTTCAATTTTCCGACATTCCTAAAAACACAAATCGAGGTATTCCGATTTAGTTTGTGTCGAAACTCGTATAATTATGCATATTTGTATTGTTGAATGTGTATCCATGTTGATTTGTGTTATGTTTGCGATTAAATTTGTATGTTATTTTTACCCGGATTAAATTATTATTGTTTAAAAAAATAGTGAAAAGTTGAGAAATAATTTTTATTGTTAATAAAATTGTTCATAAATTTTTACTGTTTTATACGTAATTTCGTGAATGTTATGTTCATATGTTTGTTGTTTTTTATTTAGTTTAGATTATTTATCTGCTTAAAGAATAGTGGCCTTATAGCGTAGTAAAATATAGAGCCTTATAGCGTAGTAAAATATAGAGCCTTTTAGCGTAGAGTCTCTGTAGTTTAATTTATAAAATAAACTTACAGAACTAACAAATTAATACATGTTGTCGTATTAAATAATTAAATATCGGGCCTGGAACCATAGTTATATACTCTTTCCTATTGAATAATTAAATAATAATTATTATAACACAAACAAAAGTCTAAAAATATTGAAATTGACACACATAAGAATTCAGGATAGCTTGGTGCTACTGGGCCTCAAATATCGAGCCTGGAACCCATAGTTATATACTATGTCCTATTAAATAATTAAATAATAATTATTATAACACAAACAAAATTCTAAAAATATTGAAATTTACGCACATAAGAATTCAAGATAGCTTGGTGCTACTGGGCCTCAAATATCGGGCCTGGAACTCATAGTTGTATACTTTGTCCTATTAAATAATTAAATAATAATTATTATAACACAAACAAAATTCTAAAAATATTGAAATTGACGCACATAAGAATTCAGGATAGCTTGGTGCTACTGGGCCTCAAATATCGGGCCTGGAACCCATAGTTATATACTCTGTCCTATTAAATAATTAAATAATAATTATTATAACACAAACAAAAGTCTAAAAATATTAAAATTTACACATATAAGAATTCAGGATAGCTTGGTGCTACTGGGCCTCAAATATCGGGTCTGGAACCCATAGTTATATACTTTGTCCTATTAATTATTAAATAATAATTATTATAACACAAACAAAATTCTAAAAATATTGAAATTGACGCACATAAGAATTCAGGATAGCTTGGTGCTACTGGGCCTTAAATATCGGGCCTGAAACCCATAGTTATATACTCTGTCCTATTAAATAATAATTATTATAACACAAACAAAAGTCTAAAAATATTAAAATTGACACACAGAAGAATTCGGGATAGCTTGGTGCTACTGTGCCTCAAATATCGGGCCTGGAACCCATAGTTATATACTATGTCCTATTAAATAATTAAATCATTATTATTATAACACAAACACATAATTAATATTGTTTAATTTACAGTAGACGACGTGGACATGCCGCTTGTGCATCCTGGACCTGCCTCGGATCAGATATTAGTGTTACAGGGCGATTATAGGTCCGTCTACGTATGGGAGGGACATCTAGTGGATCAGACTCTCCGCGCGAGGAGACCGGACGATTTGTGGGACTTTTTGAGGGAGAGAGCTTTCCATCATCGCGTAGTCGAGCGCCTCATTACTACGGGCTTCTATAGGATTTTTGAGATTGGGCGGCTGCAGCTCAACTGGTCACTGATCACGGAGTTGATAGAGCAGTGGCGACCGGAGACGCACACTTTTCACCTGCCCATTGGCGAGGCCACCATCACACTTCAGGATGTTCAGGTTTTATATGGGTTGCGTGTTGATGGACTGGCCGTTGCACTGCCTCATTATATGAGATCTATAATGCGTGCCCAGTATTTGGAGTTGCTGCTGCAGTTTACTAGTTTCAGGCCACATGGTGAGGAGGATGTAGCTAGACACGGCAGTCGCATTGCTGTGATAGCTATCAGACAACATCTGGAGGTATTGCACCCCGACATCACCGGCGAGACAGATGATCTCCATATTCAGCGGTACACGAGGTTGGCGCTGCTCCTTCTATTTGGGGGTGTCTTGTTCCCGAACACTTCGGAAAATCTAGTGAGTATGCGATTTCTACATCATCTTCAGCAGCTAGATGAGTTACCCCAGTACAGCTGGGGTGCTGCTGTTCTCGCTTACCTGTACTAGAGTATGTGTCGGGCTAGCATGGGCACCCAGAGCGACATATGTGGTTTTCTGCCGCTTCTACAGGTGACAACATATTCGAATACTCTGTTCATTACTTCCAATTCTATATAGTCAAAATGACTCTTAAATTTTACGTCAACCTTGTATGTTAGGTTTGGGCCTGGGAGCGGTTACTGCCGTTGCAGCCACCTCTACCACCATTACCTCCTGGTGTAGCACCTCCGTTCCTCCCTCTAGCTACGAGGTGGGTTCTCCGGCGTGGGAACTACCGAGCCATTGATGCTCATCATAATCTCCCCCTTGTCAGGGATGTGCTGGAGGCCGCACAGGTAAATAGCTACCTACACTGACTTGTTATAAATTCACATCCCTGGTGCGCATTGTAACGACCCGACCGGTCGTTTCGCCTTTTTGAACCCCGTTCCCCTAAATAAAGCCTCCCGTACTTGCTTTAACTAATTTACAACTTGCGGGGGCGATTGGTTCGGGGATTGGAAGAGTTTTGAGTAAAAATATGCCCATTTGCTTCTTTAAGATTTCTTATAAAGATCAAGTTTGACTTCGGTCAACATTTTGGGAAAACGGACCCGGATTCGCGATTTGGCAATTTCTGAGGGTCCGTGGGAAAATATGGGACCTGAGCGTATGCCCGGAATCGAATTCCGAGGTCCCTAGCCCGAGTAATGAATTTTTATCTAAAATTGTTTAATTGAAGCTTTAGGGAATTAAAGAATCTAAGTAATCATTGATTCCATAGGTATCAGGCTCGGATTTTGGCTCCGAAGCTTGATATAGGTCCGTAAGGTCATTTAAGACTTGCCCGTAAAATTTGGTGTCAATCCGAGTAGTTTAAGGGCGTTTTGACCCGTTAGAGGAGAATTTAGAACTTAAGGATTCAATAGTTTAATTCATTTGGTTTTAGGGGGTGATTCTAAGAATTAGCGTTGTTTTGGGAGTTCCGAGGATTCGAGAAGGTCCGCCTCGTGATTCAGACTTGTTGGTATGTTCGGGCGGGGCTCGGGAGCCCCGAGCGTCAAATAATCGAGGTTCGAGCGAAGTAGAAAAACTTAGAAAGTGCTGAGTCTGCTGCTTCTGTCATAACCGCATCTGCGGTTCTTGGACCGCAGAAGCGGTACCGCAGATGCGGTCCGGAATCCGCAGAAGCGGTCAGGGGCAGCTCAGGCAAAATCGCAGATGCGATCTTGAGACCGCAAAAGCGGTCCCGCTTAAGCGGCTATTTGACCGCAGAAGCGGTCCAGCCAATTTGGGCCAAGACCGCAGAAGCGGCCAAAAACCGCAGAAGCGGTCCCCGTAGAAGCGGTAAATGCTCCGCAGAAGCGGAAATAGCTGGGAGCAGACCCTTCATTTAATACGAACTCAAACCTCATTTTATCATTTTTCACTCTACACTTAGGCGATTTTGGTGGTTCCAAAGAGAGAGTTTCAGCATATTATTGCAAGGTAAGTAATCTCCTTCCATTATAAGTTAAATTACATGAGCATTAGGTAGATTAAACACTAAAAATTTGGTAAAAATCAAGGGTTAGAGCTAGACCTAGGGTTTTAGCAAAAACTAAGATTTAAGCATGGAATTTGTTATGAAATGGACTAGAAATCATATATTATTGATCCTTAGGTTGTAGAGAGCAATTTCCTTCGAAAAATATCGGAATCCGGGCACGTGGGCCCGGGGTCGGAATTTAGGAAACTTGTGAGAGAGGTTGGGAATTTACTTAAATAGTTAGAATTCGGCCTTTTAAGCCTTTATTGACTAGTTCTTACCTATTTTAACTAGTTTGCGATCGTTCGGCTTCGAATTAGGAGCTTCGGCTTGTTCTTGATATCGGGAGCGCGCTTTGGAGCGAGGTGAGTCTCCTTTCTAACTTTGTGAGGGGGAACTGTCGCCATAGGATTAATAATTGAATAATTGTGCTAAATGCGGGGGCTACGCACGCGCTAGGTGACGAGAGTCCGTGCGTAGCTACTACTATGTCAATGGTCCGGGTAGCTTAGGACCCACCTCATGCTTATTTCATATGACTCTATTTAATATCTTGTTACTATGAGCACCTAGGGTATGCTAGGGATTTTAAAAAGGGAATAAGAACGTACTTGTATAAATGTTGAAGTCTTGCTTGGCAATTATGACTATTGATATGCCTTGTGTGTATACTTGATATTCCTACTTATTTGTGGATTGGGCCGATCGCCTCGGTATGAATAGATGCATCTATAGGCGCGCCGTCGACCCTCGGCAAGTGCACAGTTTATTTCTGTAGGATCGGGCTGTCGCCTCGGCATATTTGTGCA